CCTGACACTCTCCCGGCCCTATTGTGGTAAGGGACTGGGTGTTTTTGGCAGCTTTTTTATGTAGACATGTAATGTGGGTAGCTTGTTAAATAAAGGCAAAGGCACTGCTGTTGTGAGTGTTGGTAAGTTACGAGTATGGATAGAGCTGACACTTCTGTGCAATGCCACATAACATTTCCTCTCCTGAAGCACATTTTTAATAAGAGGCTGTGTTTCGTCCTACTATAGGAATGTCAGTGTGGCTTTCCACTTCAGGCCTAAATTTTGTTCTCGCTCCAACCTGGAAAGACGGTCTCTGTAGAGCTAGTCCAATTATTTCCAACTTTTACAACGGCGCACTGATAATTAGGTTCACAAGGTCTCTAAGGAGTGTCACTCAACCTTAGCTGGCTTTTCCCTCTGGAAGACCTGAGGAGGGGAAAAAAAAAAGACTTTAGATGTACTTTAAGGTCGCTTCTTAAATCCTAACCTTTGTTAAGCCAGCACGTCTTAGAGAAACTGACTTATTTTAAAAAGTGTTCCGTTTTCACTCTCAGTATTTAAAAAGCATCTTATTATGACATATTTTAGCCCCCCTCTGATATTTATATGAAAGAAAATATTTATTTTTTAGGGCCTTAGCAATAATCAGAGGGGGTTTAATGCTGTGGAATTTGGTCCTCAAGTGTCTTGCAGCTGTGTACATGTAAAGTCTGAGTGTGTTAAAGCAGATGCTTGCATGCTTTTGCTCCAGAAAGCATCCAAAATGTCCTCGGATGCTTGTTGCACACCTTCCTACATGCACGGTATGCCAAATGTTTACTTTAAAGCTTTTTTTTTTTTTGGTCTTGTGAAACCTGTTCTGTCAGTGACCAGATACGACCAATGCTCACGTACAGTGTGAGCTCTCAAAAGATGAAAACAACAAAGCTCTGCGTGGAAAAAGGCTCAGTATGACACACCAGTTTTTTCAGCATGTTTCACCGTAAGAATAACAGCAAACAACGCCGCATGTTGATTCAGCTGAATAACATTTCAAGGATGTCATTCATGAAAATTACTCAAAACGTGTAAGATGCTTTTATAATTCCATGATTAGTTGAAAATGGTTGCATTTAATTTCTTTTGCAGTGTGTATGGTTTTACTGGTTTTATATTTCTTAATAACACCACTCACATTTAAAAGTGATGTTCAACAGATCATTTCACTGGTTTTAGGCTACTGTACTGAATACCTCAACTCTTAAACAGGACTTATGCCCCCTTGCGTTCATAGGACTGAGATCAAGCAGCTTTTCAATAGTCATAAAGAAACCACAGCGAGGGAGATCGATCACAGATAAAATAGTTCATATATACATTTTGACAATTTAATAATCGGTAAGCTGTAGTTGGTTTGCAGGTTTATGATCTAATTTCACAGTCTCAGCTCTGTTTGGCAGGTTTGGCTACTTGTTCTTGTCATGTTTGAGAAGATTATGAGTCTGGAGAAGATAAAAAAACAATGCAATTGTTGCATTGACACGGTACGAAGACGCCGCTTAAAAAAGAAAAAGCCTACAGTTCCTGTGTGCATACTGTGTTTGATTGTTTGCAAAGTTAGTTGGATGTAAATAGTTATTTTATTTTATTATGTATTTTATAGTCATATGACTGGTTGAAACTATACTGGTTCAGGAATGAAATGTCTGCCTCATGCCTTATTTGGACATACTGTAGATGAGAATGCAGTTTTGATGAATGCTGTAGGTGTTTTTCTTGTTTACGGGCAAAGATACGGCTCATCCATGTACACGTGACCTGCAAATGTATGAAAAGAAAAAATGGACTGGTATAATAAAATAACAAAACCAAACACCTCATTTCTGAATTGCCTTGTTCTTGAAACTGCATTCATATCTGAAATGAATTCAACACCACCTTCCTGTTTTGGGGTTAGAGAGACCAACCACATCCTTTGTAATTGATGTAATTATATGCTTAGGTTGGGTAACTGAGTTTAAACTGAATTCTTAACACACATCTTAGAAGACATTAGCATTTTTAACTATTGTAAATACATTTATTGGATACTTTATTAGCCACACCTTGCTAGTACTGTGTTAGACTCCCTTTTCCTTTCAGAACTGCATTAATTCTTCATGATATAGATTCAACAAGGTGCTGTAAACATTCCTCTGAGATTTTAGTTCCTATCGATATGACAGTCAACAGAGTTACTGCAGGTTTGTCATCTAAACATCCATGATGTGAATGAGGGGATGGCCGTGATCAGCCATACACAGGTAGGCTGTGTTGTTGGTGCGAAGTGGCTCAAAATGTGCCAAGAAAATGTCCACCACAACGTTATACCAGTAGCAGCAGCAGCCTGAACCATTAAAACAAGTCAGGATAGATCTATGCTTTCATGTTGTTTACACAAAACCACGACTCATCAGACCAGACAACGCTTTCCATATTTGCTGTTGTCCATGTTTGACGAGGCCGTGGCATCAGTATCCTGTTCTTAGCTCACAGTAGTAGCAGCCTGTTTGGTCTTCTGCTGTTGTAGCCCATCTGATAAAAGATCTGATATGTCATGTGTAGTCACAGGTGCCTTGCTGCATACCTTGGCTGTAACAAGTGGTTATTTTTGTTACAGTTGCCTTCTTATCAGCTCAAACAGTCTGCCCATTCCCCCTCCTCCTCTGGCACCCACAAGGCATTTTTGCCCAAGAACAGCCACTCGCTGAATATTTTCTACTTTTTTTGGACTGTTCTCTGTAAACCCTAGAGATGGATTTATGGGAAAATCCCAGCAGATCAGCAGTTTCTGAAATACTCAGACTAGTCTGTCTGCCACCAACAATGTTCTTATATCAACTTTTATCGTCCTTCTTCCTGATTCTGAAGCTCGGTTTGAACTTCAGCAGGTCGTCTTCATCATGTCTAAAGACACTGGACTGCTATCACGTGATTGGCTGATTAGATATTTGCATTGATAAGCAGCTAAAGAGATGCACCTAACAAAGTGGGGGGTGAGTATCATTAAGGTCCTCAGAAACTTTCACATATGTGCAGTTCACTGATTGGGAAATGAGTAACAGATAAAATAGAGTCTGTGAAGGCTTTCAGTCATCCAGGTCATCGTAGTCTAAGGAGCTTGCAAAGAAAAGCGTCTGGACTTCTTTGAAGTTGCTTGAAGACGTTTCACCTCTCATCCGAGAAGCTTCTTCAGTTCTAAGGTCAAATGGTGGAGAGTCCCAGATTTAAACCTCAGTGGGAGTTTCCCCCCAAAGAGGGACAAAGGACCCCCTGATGATCCTCTACCTAATCACATGAGCCAAGGTGTGAAAGCGGGTGTGGGTCACAATCAGCCAGGGTTTCGGGTGAGCTCATTGTGAAACCTGGCCCCACCCTATCATGTGATTTCCTGAGGTCAGATGGCCCAGGATGTGAGTGGGCGTTAAGGCGTCTGGGAAGGGATCTCAAAACTGGATTATAGATGGCAGAGAGTTGGTGTCGTAAACCACCGCCTCTGTTCAAAGATGGTCGCTCACAGTGGACATAGAATGGCTTCTTTCACTCCTCTTTCAAACCATCTGTCCTCTCTGTCCAAAATGTGAACATTGGCATCCTCGAAAGAGTGACCTTTAGTCCTTAAGATGCAGATGGACTGCTGAGTCTTGTCCTGTGGAGGTGGCTCTTCTGTGTTGTGCCATCGCTTGTGAAGTGGCTGTTTGGTCTCTCCGATGTAGAGGTCTGGGCATTTCGTGCATGAAGATACACATTGTTGTTTGTGTTGGGTTTTGTCTTTTGGGTGAACCAGTTTCTGTCTGAGCGTGTTGCTGGGTCTGAAATACACTGGGATGTCATGCTTGGAGAAAACTCTCCTGAGTTTCTCTGATACACCGGCTACATAGGGGATGACAATGTTGTTGCGTCTGTCTTTCTTATCCTCCCTCGCTGGTGTCTGGTCTTCTTTTCTGTGCCTCTTTGCTGACTTTAAGAACGCCCATTTAGGATAGCCGCACGTTTTGAGTGCTTCCTTTACATGTGTGTGTTCCTTCTTTTTTCCTTCAGGCTTAGAGGGAACATGTTCTGCCCGGTGGTGTAGGGTCCTAATTACTCCAAGTTTGTGTTCCAGAGGGTGATGGGAGTCAAAGAGGAGGTACTGGTCCGTGTGTGTGGGCTTCCGGTAAACTTCGATGTTGAGTTTGCCGTTCTCTTCAATGTGCACAGCGCAGTCCAGGAAAGGCAAACAGTTGTCCTTTGTGTCTTCCCTGGTGAACTTGATGTTTTATCCACAGCGTTAATGTGCGCAGTGAAGGATTCCACTTCTTGTGTCTTGATTTTGACCCAGGTGTCGTCTACATATCTGTACCAGTGGCTGGGTACTCTCCCTTTGAAAAGAGCCAAGAGCCTTTCTTTCCACTTCCTCCATGTAAAGGTTGGCTACAATAGGTGACAGCCATGTTTTTGTCTGTAGAAACCCTTGTTGTATTTGAAATATGTAGTGGTGAGGCAGAGGGTAACAGTGTGCAAATCTGATCGGGTGTGAAGTTGGTCCTGTCTTCCAAGGAGCTGGAGAAGGAGAAGACAAATGGTAAACGGTAAACTTCAACCTCAGTTTACCGGAAGCCCACACACACGGACCAGTACCTCCTTGGCTCATGGCTCATGGCTCATGTGATTAGGTAGAGGATCATCAGTGGGTCCTTTGTCCTTCTTTGGTTGGGAAAGTCCCACTGGGTTTAAATCTGGGACTCTCCACCATTTGACCCTTAGAACTGAAGAAGCTTCTCGGATGAGAGGTGAAACGTCTTCAAGCAACTCAAAGAAGTCCAGACGCTTTTCTTTCCAAGCTCTTTAGATAGAATAGAGTTGGAACTAATTTTCATTTCTGATTCAAGATCCACTGATTATAAGATTTGAAAACTTTGAATCAGTTTGTATAACTTTAGCAATACCCAGCTTTTCCTGCAGCTTGAAAAATCTCTGCTGGGGAAATAAGGCCTGAGCCACCTCATGTTGGTGCTTTCTCACTTCGAGGACATTTTGAAGCAGTTATGCATGCTCACCACTGGATGGAGCACTTTGTGTGCTTTGTGATTTAATGGCACCATATCTTAGGCTCTAAAACTTTTCAAACACTTAACAGAGTCACAGCTGAAGTTGAGCATATTTTTTAAGCTGTTTTCTCCCAGACGCTTGTTTGTATCCGTCTCTGTGTGTCTGCACTCCGTCCTCCTTTACAGACATTCTGACTTCTGTAAACAAAGTCCAGTGGTCATACTTTTGCCTCAATAAGGCAGTGCTCCTCACTTTTTTTTGCCACTGTTAACTCCTTATTTTCCACCCCGATGATTCGTCTGGAGCACTCCAGTAGAGCCACGGTCAAAGTTTATATGAGGTTATGAGCTAAAAATTTTCACATGGCATCATCCAGAATCCACTAACAAGAGGAGGAGGGACTCTTCTGAAGGTGACAGAGATGGATGAACCAGGACCTGATGTGTTTCTTTCTTCTTCTCCTCCTCCTCTTTCATCCCTTTTTGGGTGGTTCGTGTAAGCAATCTGCACTCTCTCTCCAAACATGCATCCTTACGAAGCGCTGCAGTGTGAGGTGTGATGCAGGGCTGAGCTCCCACAGCTCCCCAGAGAACTTTAAAGGAGGAGCAGGGAGAGGAGCAAGGCGTGCTGACTCCTAAAGATCACCACAAAACGCACCCTGAAACAGGTGAGTCACACCAAACCTCAGCAGCTGCCAACCCCTAATCTGAGTCTCTAATTTTCAGTCTTGTTTCTTTGTGCTTCCCATGTTGTGTCAATGAGTACTAGATTTTTCCAGTGTCTCAGCACATAGTTGCATGCTGTTATCAGATTCTTTTAGTAATGCTTGCTACATTACTATATTTGTACGTGTTTTTCCCGCCTCTGTGCCGTAGTCAGGCATCTGCTGCGATAAACTGAGACGTCCTTCTGTGTCGGCAAAGACTCACAGAGTAGTTTGTATTAAAATTACTGACTGCATGCAGATGAATTCTTCAGATCTATCTGTAAAACCTGTGCTTTATTTTTACTGTAAACAGTGAGAACTATCTGGCCTGGTTGGTCAGAAATAATTCAAGTATTTTTAATCCTGTGTCAGTGATTAACTGTGGATTATTAAGGCGAAGTTGTTGCTAAAAAAACAACAAACTAAAAAACCCAGAAAGTCAAGAATTATGTCAGTATGTGTTAGGACAGCTCTGTTATCATACAGCCAGGTTCACCTGTCAGACATGGAGTCAAAAACTGATGGCAAATCATCGCTAACCAGCGAAGAACTGGCTGCTATTGAGGATGAAGATGTTCTCAACAAGATGGTGAGTGAGTTATAGGTGGCTTCAGCCAATCAAATTATCCATATCACATCTATGCAAAGAAAAAGCAGTGAGATAATTGTTGTTTCGTTTCCATTTTGCCATCCTGTGTGTTCTAAACTGTGTAATTTCTGACATTTAAATTCAGTTTTATTGATACAGCACCAAATCACAACAACAGTCACCTCGAGATGCTTTACATTATAAGATAAATGTCTTACAGTATCAAAGAGACATGACCAGCTGGGTGTTGAAAGGAAAGGAAAGGAAAGGGAGACAGGACAAAACACAAACTATGGGAACGAGAAGGTCAATTTTAATGACATAAAGCAGTGGCGAATAAACACAAGGAGAATGAAAACGGGTGAGCGGAAAAGAAACGCTCAGTGCTCATCATGGGAAGTCAACATCCTGAGGCTATAGCAGCATAACTATGACATAATTAAGGATCACCTGATCCAGCTTGCCATTATAAGCTTGTTGTGATCCTCATCTTAAAACTAGAAAAGGTGTCTGTCTCCTGAATCCAAACTGGGAGCTGGTTCCACAGGCGAGGGGCCTGATAGCTGAAGTCTCTGCCTTCCACTCTACTTTTAGAAACTCTACACTGTATTTGATGTAATGCAATGTTTTAAATGATTCTCACTCAGTTTTCTGCTTTAGTTTAGTACATTTTGGGGGGATTTCTATCAACTTTCAATTCAAGTTGAAATCAAAACCTGTTTTGTTAACTTGTTTCTTTTTTTTGTTTTGTTTTTTTTATGTTAAGTGACAATGCTAAGTTTCACTTATTGTATAACTTAAACTTAAACTGTAACTTAAATCTGTTGGGTTGATCTGAGTTGTTAACTTAATTTAATTAAATCACATGTTACCAGTTGACATAACAATGATCTTTTTTGGGAACCACAAAAACACTTATATGTGCGGAGAATGGTTTTAAATTCAGTTCAATAATTCTTTTAGTAGTTCTTTTATTTCTGGTTTAAATCTGGGCTAATGATGAGAAGCTAATATGGGCAAAATATTAAATATGATCTCCCTCTCTCTCCTGAGAGAATAACTGCAACACTTTGGATTAATTGAAGGCTTTTTAAGGAGCTTTCAAAACAGTCTGATAATAATGAATCACAGTAGTCCAGCTGAGAGGTAACAAATGTGTGGGCTAGTTTTTCAGCATCGCTCTGGATTATTGCACAGATGACAAAAAGCAGTCCTACATGTTTGTTTAATGTGCGCGCTGAATACATATCCTGTTCAGAAAAACTACTCCAAGATTCCTCACAGTGTTACTGGAAGCCAAAGTAATGGCATTACTTAGGACCAAGTAACCTCAGTTTTGCCTAGATTTACAAGACATGCCTGCAGTCATATAAAAATATTCTGAAAGACCGGATTACAAGGTGGTTTATAATATTTTTTCTTTATATTGTTTCTTTACCTGTAATTATCGTTTTAGCTCGACAACACCTCAGATTTTGAAGAGAGACGGATGATCCGTTCTGCATTAAGGGATCTCCTGAAGAAAAAAAGAGGTGAAATCTCAGGAAAACTTTGACAGCTCTGTCAAATAGTGAGGGGAAGTGCTATAATCATGACTCATTTGGTGCTTTGCTTTCCTTTTTCTTTCTTTAAATTGCCTATCATCAGAAAAACGGGAGCAGGAGCGAGGGTTAAGGCAGCAAAACCTAAGACAGCAAGGTCTGAGCAAAGCGGGAACGACAGGCGGGACCGTTAGCATAGGAAGGGCATCCATGAACCAGCAGCCGCCAATAAACAGTAACTGTGAACCCCCTAATGTTTGTTAATGCATCATCCTGCACTTCAGTTTTAATAATTTTTACACTTTAATTCTCTTCATCATTTTAGAACCAAGCAGCCAGCCATCTCCATCAGCAGCTACTCCCTTTAACAGGACAGGAGGCAGGTGAGTCACATGCGAGGCGGTGTAGGTGAACATTTTTGCAAAAAGGGGGTTAAAGAACAATCATCTGCTTCTTTGATATAGACATGATGCTTCATCTCAATGAGCGGGAAAATGCTCAAAGCATTTGCCATGTGAAAAGATGAGGTGACCCATACTTTTGTGTCTTTGTTTCCTCTCCTCAGCAAGGCCAGTTCTGCTGCTGCTGCTCCTCCTGCTGCGGCACCCAACGCTAAGAATGTCAAACAGATGCTTCTGGACTGGTGCAGGGCCAAAACAGAGCCATATGAGGTAAATATGCCCTACCTCACTCTGTCTATGAATTATTGCCCCGTGGAGCTACACATAGCCCTGACTCTTATGTCCCTCTTGCTGCCACTTTTCCCTCTAAACTTATCCCGCTCTGGTATGAAACAGGGGGTGGACATTCAGAACTTCTCCTCCAGCTGGAAAGACGGCATTGCCTTTTGCGCCCTGGTGCACCGCTTCTTCCCTGACGCTTTCGAGTACTCCATCCTCAACCCCAACAAGCCCAAGGAAAACTTCCAGCTGGCTTTCAACACTGCGGAGTGAGCTCTCCTTCCTTATATGTCCTATCTGCAAAAACTCGAGCTTTGAATTATAAATAACAAAGTAACTTTACACTTACATTGTTTCTCTCAAGTCATTTTTCACTGACATTTGCACTTTCTGCAGGAGGTTGGCAGGCTGCCCCCCTCTGCTGGATGCCGATGACTTAGTCCGGATGAACGAGCCCGACTGGAAATGCGTGTACACATATATCCAGGAGTTTTACCGCTGTCTGGTGGAAAAAGGCCTGGTTAAAACCAAGAAGCGGCCATAGACTCAGAAACTTCGGGAGTTGCTGTGATTACAGTTTTTACAAATATTACACACATTACAGCAAGCTGATGTCAAAAGGGACAATGTTGTGTGCTTTTTTTCAACTAAATATTTACATCTCGCCTCCGATCACATCTGGCTCATGTATCACTTGAATGTGCCAAATGTGTAGTATTCATATTGGTTTGTGTGTGTTAGCAGGGGCTTGTGGGTGTCTGTGCTCTCAGTGGACAGCTGGCGCTTTGGATCAGTACATTCCAGTGAGATTACACATGTGTATTAATCCCACAGTCACAGGGAGATTCTGGGAACAACTTTTATGATGATGCTGTTAAGGGCCAGAGAGTGTAAGCACTACAGATCCATTTAATAAATATTAGTTCCATTATATGCGTTGTACCCCCTACTGTTATATTGATAAAAATGGTACTAAAGCATTTCCCTGATGCCATTTTCTCCAGCAGCTGGTGGTGTGCTGGATACTTTAATGAACAGCTTACAATTTGCCTTGACATGGGGCGTGGAGTTTAAAAGACGTGGGCTGTCTGCGACTCTGACTATCTCACCTTTAAAAATTGTGATCAGAACTTAATATATATACATTAGGGCCATGAAAGGGAATGATTGTACAGCCTACATCTTTACAAACTTCAAAAAACAGAATTGGGTACACAAGTTTGAATTTATTCTGGATTGTCCCTAAGCCACACATGATCAACAATGTCTTTAAACTTGACAAGTCCAAGGCCTGTTAATTTCTCATTAGTGATCATGATTGACTACGACTGGTAGTTTGTCTGGCAGCATAAAGGATTTATTTGATAGGATCAATACTCAGAATATTGAGAAAGTCTAAAGATGGAGAATTGCCAATTTGCACAAGTTAGGAAGGTTTTTCTGAGCCATTTCTAAGCAACTGCAGGTTCCAAGATCATCAGTTCAAACAACTGTATACAAATATGAGTTATTCTGATATGTCACCACTTTGCATAGATCTGGAAGAAGATGAGAGGAAGTTGGTCAGCATTTTCAGGAACAATCCAGGAACCTCTGAGGCTCAGCCTGCCTGCCAAGCCATAAACTGGAAACTGCTGAGAAAACCAGCATCACTATCCACACTGAAGGGTGTTTTACATCGCCATGGAGATAGAGGATGCTGACCAAGACAGAAGCCCCTGCTCCAAAATCAACACCTTCAAGCTTGACTGAAGTCTGCAGATCCCCACATGGACAAGGCAAATGCCTTATGAAGAAAAAAATGTATTATCAGACAAGACCGAGATAGAGCTATTTGACTACAGTGACAATGGGTGTGTTTGGAGTAAAGGTAAAGCTTCCACACTTACCAGCTTTTAAGCATGGTGGTGTTAGCATAATGCTCTGAGGCTGTTCTGCTGCCAGTCGTACTGGTACGTTGCACAAAGTGGATGGAATATTGAAGGAGAAGAACAACCTCCAAATATTTCACCTTCACCTCAAATCAGCAGGTGGATCATTGAACAGTTGATGGTTCCAACAGCACAGTGATCCCAAACACATCAAAACAGGTTTTTGAATGGATAACGCAGGCTTATACTAAGCTTCTGGAGCGACTTTCCCACAGCCCTGATCTCAACCCTATTGAAAATTTGTCGACTATGCTTAAAAGCCGGGTCCAGTCAAGGAAACCAACTAATGTAAATGAACTCTACCAGTTCTGCCAAGAAGAGTGATGAAATATCCAGCCAGAACTGTGGCAGAAGCTTGTTAAGCTTAAGCTTAGCAGCTTGCTGAGAATCCCTGTACGAAATATTAGTGGGGTATATATTTGAATCTGTGTGGATCAGAAAAAATATAAAATTAAGTCAAACTTGTGCACCCAATTCTTGATTTTTAGAGTCTTTTTCCATCCAGGAAAAAGAACAGTACAAAGAAATCATTAAAAGCCCCAAATTACCATGACATTCATGCTCATGCTGAGTGGATGTAAACTCCTGATCACAAATGTTCCCTTTTTCTTGCTGTTATGTTTCTTATGATGCCTCACACTTTATTTTCTGGAATCTCTTGTATGTTCACAAGAGTTTTTCTGATGTGCATTTAAATGCAGTCCAGCACAATCTGTAGAGTAATTTTCATACCATGCAAAGAATCAAAATTAAAGGCTTTATTAAATGCTCTTTTAGAGAAAATGTTGTATGTAGTCAGTTTGGTTTGAATGCATTGTCACTGTATAGACTGGCCCTACTACTGGCCCAAACAGTAATAACAGTACTTTTGAGGTAATATGTTTTCTGTTGAGACACGGTTGCTTTTTGCAGTTGTTTACTGCGCAAGCTTGTGTGTATTAAGGAATATAATACAAACGTAAAAAAAATGCAAAGTCACAAACATTATACATCAAAATTCTGTTTCTTGATAGGCTCGACAAAAAAGCTCGGCATAAACACCATCAGTTAACGCTTATTATTTTGTTCGTTTAATGGATTGTTGTGATGTACATAATATTACATAATATTACCAGCTGCCAGTGCCCAAAGTGAAATTTAAATATTGACATATGGATCAATTCGTGCTATCAGTGACGCACTAATGTCAGATTAATGCGTCAGTGATAGGACAGATGCTCAGTTATTTCTGGCCGGCTGCACTTTGGCAGCTGAATTTTGTTTTGCCTGTCCTGCTCTGCCCACCCCCTGGTGTTCATGCTTTTATCTAGGGTGTATGTGTGATGGAGAGAGAGAAGGAGAGGTTGTGTGCTGGGAAGACAGAGAGGGAAAGAGAGGCGCTGGGTCGGTGTAAGACTGCTGTGCAGGAGGTGCAGGCGGGATGCTGACTACAAAGTGCACAGCTGCACCGGCGAACTGCGCGAGGTAGCCAGAGGCAGCGATAGTAAGTAGGATGAGGTATAATCAGCTGCTGTATCACGGCACAGGCATCAACATGCAAGAGTCCGGGCGCATCAACCGTGACCGTTTTCTGTCCTGACAGCCCGGCGGCGGCGGCGCAGGCTGCACCGTGACAAGACGTTCCACGGTACCGACGGGTCGCATCAGCCCTGCAGACCGGACGAGACTGTCTCCGGACATCATCGATTTTACTCTGTAACAGCCAGCTCACGTTCATAAGTGTGCGAGAAAAAGAAAAGAAGAAGAAGAGGACTGATGAATGTGTGAGCTCACCTTTTCGTTCACCTTGGAAATATAACAACGCATGAAAGGTAATTTTCTCCCCTCACAGCGTCAGTGTGAGGGGAGAAACAGCCGCTGTCTTTGTGTTTGTCTTGGTTGCACCTGTAAAACTGCGTTTTCTGTTGTTGTTGTTTTCTATAAGTCTCTTACCTTTGTTTAAAACGGAGCTGTCATTCAGACTTGCAGCCTCATGGGGGGTGCATATGTGAAAGGCCCACCGGCACCGGATTTTAAGCTCCAAAAGTTTCCTCTTGACTTCAAACCTGTGTGATCGCTATTACTCACAGCTCTGTTTCACGGGTTATTGCTGTGATCACGTGAATTTCTCAGTTACAAAGATGTCCTCATTTGAACGTCATTCATTATTAACAGAGGTGTATAATTTATGAGTGGAAGGACTTTAAACAAAATGGAGGGAGGCACCTGTCCTTCTTATGTCAGGCATCCTCTTTCATGTAACCACAGGTGTAGATTTTAGGGTTGAACACATTTGACTCCATAAATAAAATCAGAGAAAATGCTTCTAAAATCTTTTTTTTTTGCAGCAATGCTTCATTCTTTTACTCTGGAAATATTATTTATCCCTGCAATATCCAAAGCTCACAACACTGGATCTTTTCTCCTAAATGTAATTAATCCCACTGAGCCCACGAACACACACCCTGTTTTGATGTCAGTCAGAAGCTGCAAAGCTTGACTTCTGATAATTTGCCGGAGCACAGAAAGAAATGATGAGGATGAGGTTTAATGTTAGGACATTAAAAATGTTGTTAGTTTATTAAATAACCTTAAGTTTGTGTCATTTGTTATTTTCGGTAAGTCTCAATAACATAGCCAAGAAAAAAATGATTGTATAAAATGTGCAGGAAGTTTTGAATGTGGATCTATTAGTGAATCTGTGAAAAGATAAGAGGTGTGCATTTACTTTACTCCAAAGAAAAGGCACAAACTGTCAACTTGTTAAGCATCAACATCCAGGCAGAAACAAAGGAGTGGAGTGCAGGAGAGTAAATCAGCCTATATGTGTCCACTCACCAGAGATGGGCTCATATATAT